GGGTTCCGGTTGAGCCAGCTCGATATGCCTATTACAACTGTAGAAGTCATTGTTTTTGTACCAGGACTTGTTGGCCTTGTAGTGCTCGAAGTTTGCAGCGTGTGCTCTAGGATAGGCATGTTGTTGGGGAGCTTCAAGTGGAGTATTCAAAAGGGTGGAGATCAACAAAGCCGAGCATCGAGGTCAATGATATGCTATTAATGTCAGATCATGTTGGTCATGTTGAGATATTGCATGTCACAACACCGGTGCCCATCTTAAATCGTAAGTAAGGGAGGAGCGACCATTGCATCAGACTTCCCTTCACCGGCAAAACCCTTCTGTCTAATTATAATGTTGTCATTTTGTGTATACAAACATTATTAAGTTTTATTGGGGGCCAAAAACAATTAAATACTACTCATAATGTATTTTTGGGCCGGAGCTTGTCCTTGAGTCATCGCATCTTGCTTTTCAAGGCCAGCCCAACAAATTACAAATGTATATGTCTTGCCTACCGCCGGGTAATCTAGAACGCCATCCACCCTTCTCCCCTTGAAGCTCCGTGTGCCTTTGCTGGTACTGATGCCGAGCTTGCGGAAAACACACACTCGAATCGCCTTTCGACCACTTGCCTGATCGCCAGTCTCAACGGGCAGTCCGTAGATATCGATCACATGCGTGTGGCGTGGCTCGTGTCTGGAGTTGGTTAGAATTGTCACTTCCCCCCTTTTTTCACCCTTTTGATCTGCCCCAGCTGTCACTTTCCTCGCTTGACCACGCTTTCCCGCTAGTCAAACGGGTGAGCGCTCGTAGTACAGTACAGTAGTAAATTGCAGTGACATGCATAATTTGGTCGCCTACGCAGGGCCCCTACCTACGACGGCGCACATCCTTGGCCATCCCAGCGCTCGCAACAGTTTAGTACGTAGCGTACGCAATGCATCAACGCGGGCCCCCGAGGAGATCAAAGCTATGTAGATTACCAGCTCAGCTGTCACCCACTCTCTCTCTCGCTCCTGAAGAAATACTACTAGAGTAGTCCTACAGCGTCGCCATGGGCGGAAAGGGGTGCCAGTGGGTGTGACATGACAATGGCATCCTAGCCGGCCAGGCTAGCTCGCTAAAGCTATTCTCCTCTCATCTCATCTCATCTCATCTCCTATGCGGTGCCTGCCTCTGCTCCCCCTAGGCGTAGCTGGGCTAATATGGGGAAGCATGCCCCCTCCCCTCCCGCCCGGTCACGTGCAACGCCCCGCCCCTCCTGCAAAGCAAAGCTCACCCGTCACACACGCACAAAACGACCGATGTAGACGCGTGCGGCAGCGGCCACGGAGATGCGATGCCATGCATGCATGCAGCGGGGATCAGGGCGAGCGGCCGCTCGTGCCGGCCCCCTACGTCACTCATTTACTCCTCGATCCTCCCTCGCGTCGCCACTGTGCCGTTCGCCGTAGACTGGTACTAGCACGTAGGTGCAGTAGTACCAGGAGTACTGCTAGCTGAGATTCGCTCGTACCGGACCCTTTTCCTTCCTTGCATTTTACGTCATTTCCTTTCCTCCGTTGGCTCCAAAGACGCACACCATGCCCATGCACGGGCGCGGCTGTCTTTTACTCCTCCTAACCCAAACACGCTGGCTAGGCTGAAGCTGACACCAGCGACCGGCGAGCGAGCTCTCGGTAACCCAAGCAAAGCAAGAATTCAACTCCCAAATCCCGGCCGGTTTTCTACTCCAAAATATCTGGCTCCGTGCTTCGTCTCCGCTGACGTCTTCCTTGCTGCTCTGCATGGGCGTAAAGGTTGCCTCCAGCTTCGTGTTCTGCGACCGTATGGTTTCGAGGGCAAAATAGCAGTTAATTAAGCACTGCTGTGCCGTGCCGTGCCGTGGCAGCCTCGGCCGACTAGACTAGTGGGAGGCCCGCACGCGTAGTAGTACAGTGGTACGGCACAGTGCCACAGTCCTCACGCCAGCTTCGAAGAGGATTCGGACAAGAGCGGACGCGCGCGCCGCAGCGGCTACGTACGTACGTACCGGGCCGCATGCACGCAGTCGGTTCGGCTCGGCCAGCGTCACGTCCCTGACAAACGATAAAACAACTGGATTGGAGTAGTACGTAGTACGTACCGGGCCTGCCCGTGTCCGAAGGATATATTAACGCGCGCATGCCTGGTCCGTGTGCGTCCGTCGCTTGACCTGACCTGGCCACGCAAGAGGAAAAGGAAAATCAAATCGAACTGTCTGCCAGAAGGTAGATATAGAGGCCGGAGCAACAGCGGCCCGTTTGACCGACTTGACACTTTACTGCGCCGCTTCTGTGCAAGTGCAAGCTGGTGGTAGAGTATGGCATTTACTGCTGCTGCTGCCTACATAGAGACTTGAGAGCAGGGCGTCACTTGTCCGGCCGGTCTTTTCGCCCATTGATGAGGCGCCCGGCCCAGTACTTGCGGCTTCGCCATGCCGATGCGTGGGAGGACTCACCGCACCGGCGAGCTAGACAACCGATAGTGCCCGTCCCGGTGCAAGATGCCACGCATTTCGATCTTTGGAAACATTGTAGCGTGCAAAGGAAGGAAAATCAGAGCATCTACAGCCACGGGTATAAAATTTCGGTTCCTAGACGCCGGCAGACGCATCTGGGCACGTCGCGCCTTCTTTCGGATTCACCTCTCGTCGTGAAAGCGCAAATGACCTCTGTTTAGGCGCCTGACACCACGGGGACGAGGTGCCACTTAAAAGGTTCCGGCGGCATGGCGGGGTTGCGCCGTGCGGCCGTGGTGACCGCTGCAAGCGACGCGCGACGAGATGCTCCGGCCCCAAATCCGACGCCACTTGGGTAACAGATTCCCGCCAGCTCCCTAAAGAACGCACGAAAGGGCACTCCCCCGCAGAGCGGGCGCCCATATGTTTCTCGGGGCTGCAAGGGATGAGTTCCAAGTCCTCGGATGCAGACATGGCGGGGTCGTATCTAGTCGCCGTCATAGATGACCACGCCAGAGCTGGCTGAAGAGGAGCTTGATAGTGTGGGAAGGGAGTGGAGTGGAGTGGAATGCGGCTAGGGTTTTAGCCGGAGTGCGGCCTATTTAGGTGGGGTCGGGTGAGCCAGATCCGACATGGCAGGTAGGTTCGGGCATCCCCGTATTCGCCCTAAATTTGGGCTGGACTGGGGAGTGACCGTAAGTCCGAACGTTTGCGCGTCAAAAATGCGGCGCTCGGTTGGGCATTGACCATGCAGCTTGCTCGGACATTTGGGGCAAGTATAGGGACTCCGATTGTAGATGCTCCTACGTCTAATTTGATACTTCATTGAGATGTGGTGTCCGATGCGTGAAAATGCTTCGAGAAGTGAGAGCATCTACAGCCGGACTTAGCAAATCTGGCATCTATAAGTCAGCGGGCGCCTCCGCAGACGGCCCCTCACTTGAGTTGCCGCACATTGACACACCGCAAATACGGATTCTTGAATTCATGCAATCCATTGACGTCCATCAAACGATACAAATCATCCCAATTCAACAGTTCGAAACAAAATACGACAAAGCAAAACAAATCATAATTCAACAATCCGGACATGCTAAAATAAAATCAATGTCCGAGCGTGATGGTTCACTCCTTGACCGGCTGGATCACTCGCCCGACGCCATCCATATTCCGCTTGCTCCGTGGCCATCCTTATGGGCAGCGAGGATGAGGAGCAAGGATGGCGGACGGCAAGGGCTTGAACACGGGAATAGGTGGAGGGAGTCGGGAGGGGGAAGGGTTTAGGGCCTCTTTGATTCACAGGATTGTCAAAATAAAGGAATAGAAAAAATGCAGGAATAGGGTGACATGTCCCATAGTATCCTACAGGATTTGAAAGAATGTTTGATAGCATAGAAAAAACAAAGGAATTCTACAAAGAGGTTTGAGTGGATGGAAATTTTTCTCCAAAATGTAGTACAAATGGATCATATGGAAAAATTCCTAAGGATGCCAATCCTACGAATCAAACGAGCATCACATGAAAAATTTCTAAGGATTTAAATCCTCCAAAAATCCTATATAATTCCTTTAAATCAAAGGAGCGCTAGTGAATTGATGCAATTTGTGCTGAAGTAAGCCTGTCGGGTTCGACGTGACGGGCGCGCCGAGACATCGCTTTCATATTTGGACTGGGTATATGGAGTGCTGGTCAGCTCAAGTGTTTGAGACGCTCGTCTCGGTTTTTTCATTTGACCTGTAATCGGGCCGTTCGTCCGGACGTTCGATAGAGGTTTGGGGTGCAGGGATGTAGATGCACACTACTTCCGTTATCAGTTATCACCACGACACAAGAAGCAAGCACATAGTACTGTAGTAAAAAAAATGACGAGGGAAAAGTGGCGCAAACGGTTGCCCCGCACCCTCTCACGGACGGACTTTAAAAGTCGGCATTGGTAACCGCAACACAGCACAGAGAGACTCACCCCCAAATCTCTCTCTTCTCTCTCTATTCCCATGCAATGCAATAGTTGTCACCACTCGCTACAGTGCCGGCAGCATTGCATCGCATCGCATCGCATCCATATCCATTCCTCCTCACGAGAAAAAGAGAGAGACGAGCAATACTAGTCGTCGTCGTCGTCGTAGCCTGGTACGTCTACGCTAGAGCGACAGGGAAAGAGGAGGGAGGGGGCGCTTGTCATCTACTCCTCCTCGCTACTACCCCTAGCTGGGATCCACAGCCTCCTCCTCCTCCTCGTGTCGGCCTCGTCCACATCCACCGTCTCCTCCGAGCGAGGCGGACAGCGACGCGGCCACGGAGCGAGGGAGGGAGAGAGACAAAGCCGGTAATAAAGGCGGGCGGGCGCGCGCGCGCACAAGCCAAGCAAAGCACATTAACGACGCCAGCCAGCCAGCCAGCCAGCCAGCCCGCGGGGAACCCCATTAAAGACGCTTCCGGGGGAGCGCCGTGGGCAAGCAAGCACAGGGGCTTAGCTTAGCTTGGCTTGTGCATCGCGTGTTGTGTGCGCGAGAGGGAGACAGCGGCCGAGAGAGAAAGATGGCGATGCCGTATGCCTCTCTTTCCCCGGCAGGCGACCGCCGCTCCTCCCCGGCCGCCACCGCCACCGCCTCCCTCCTCCCCTTCTGCCGCTCCTCCCCCTTCTCCGCGTAAGCATCCATCCGTCCACCGCTCGCTTCTTGGCTCCTCCCTCATCTTCTTTCTTGTGTCGTGTGACGTGGTTCGGTGCGTGTTCTTGTGCGCAGCGGCGGCAATGGCGGCATGGGGGAGGAGGCGCGGATGGACGGGAGGTGGATGGCGAGGCCGGTGCCCTTCACGGCGGCGCAGTACGAGGAGCTGGAGCACCAGGCGCTCATATACAAGTACCTGGTGGCCGGCGTGTCCGTCCCGCCGGATCTCGTGCTCCCCATCCGCCGCGGCATCGAGTCCCTCGCCGCCCGCTTCTACCACAACCCCCTCGCCAGTACGTCCCCCGCTCTCTCGCCCCTTCCTTCATCATCACCGCAAATCTCGCGATTGCGTTCTTTGTTTATTCATCCGATCAGGTGTGGTGTGTACTTTCCATCCATTTGTTAACTCGCTTCGGTCTTTTGTTAATCCGGGATCCGCTGCGCTGCTCGAGAAACGCCGTGCGTTCCGCCGGATTTGCTCCCAGAAAGCGTGAGCTTATTTTAGTAATCCCAACCAGTGCTACTCTATCTTCATGGTTTTTATCAGGCTGCTAGGCACCATGGATTCGTAGGGGCGCCACTGTTCGATTCGAAACAGGACTTGAGCAGCGTCCTCGTGTCCAAAAGCAGAGGCTCCTTGTTCGTTAGCAGCATCCCTCTTCTGAACATTTTTGTTTTGCCAGTTCCTTTTGTTTTTCTCCGTCGGATTAATCCTGCAAATCTAGCTGATGGAACAGCTTATAGCTGCTCGCCATTGTTTTTCGATGAAGGATATTTGCCGGCAACTTTACCTTGCATCTGATCGATCGGTTTTGTTGGCTTTGTGCAGTCGGGTACGGATCGTACCTGGGCAAGAAGGTGGATCCGGAGCCGGGCCGGTGCCGGCGCACGGACGGCAAGAAGTGGCGGTGCGCCAAGGAGGCCGCCTCCGACTCCAAGTACTGCGAGCGCCACATGCACCGCGGCCGCAACCGTTCAAGAAAGCCTGTGGAAACGCAGCTCGTGCCCCACTCCCAGCCGCCGGCCGCCTCCGCCGTGCCGCCCCTCGCCACCGGCTTCCACAGCCACTCCCTCTACCCCGCCATCGGCGGCGGCACCAACGGTGGTGGAGGCGGGGGGAACAACGGCATGTCCATGCCCGGCACGTTCTCCTCCGCGCTGGGGCCGCCTCAGCAGCACATGGGCAACAATGCCGCCTCTCCCTACGCGGCTCTCGGCGGCGCCGGAACATGCAAAGATTTCAGGTGAGGACGCACTGCTCATGACATCTCTCCATGCCGCACAGTAGCCCTTGTCTTTTTTAACGGTGCCATCATGCCTCAAACTGATTGGAAAACAGCCAAGCCAAGATAGATACCTTCGGTCCTCTAATTTCTGCGTCCCATTTTGTTGCTTTTCCAAAATATTTGTTCCTCTATGCACAGTGCTGCTCTGCTGCAACACACGCAATATGCATTGTATGATCTATCACTGAAACCTTTTTACTCTCTGCACTGCAACCCATTTTCTGCTGTGTTTAGCCTTTAGATCTCTGCTTCTGCTTGCTTTCCGGGATCAGATTTTAGATTGGGAGCCCGGGGACAGTCGGTCCCTATGATAGATCTTTGCTCAGGTGGAACTGGAACTGCGGTGCAGGGTGTTCGCTTGGCTTTGGCGCAGGCTAAGTTTCAAGCACGTACACTGTCCATGATAAAGATGAAAATGGATGATGCACAACATATTTGTGGTCTGTCGTCGCAGAGTCCCTTGCCATTTACTCCGCTTCTTTATTCTTCTACAGCATCCAGTTGTTGTTTCTGTTAGGGCCTGCACACAATGATTTGGGCCATTTTAGCTGCTCTATCTCTGAATACCGGTCGCCACTATCTCTGAAGAGGCCAGCCAGCGTGGTGCCGGAAGCCCCACCATTTTCATCCGTACCAATTATGTGTTTCTAACTTTCTATCAGTGCAACTGTACAGCTGCTTGATTTAACTTCGGTGAACTTCTTGGTGTAAAACCTTCTGCCGCTGGTTCACATTGGGGAATCTACACTCTTTCGTGCTTAGTTGTGTTGGTTTAGCTTAGCATCTCAAATTAATAGGCCACTTCTGTTGCGATTGTTTTGCTTTCCTCTGTCACCATAGGTATGCTTGGTTTCTTGATAATTTCAAGCAATGCTATTCTTACTAGTATAACGCCCGTGCGTTGCCACGGGCTCTTCAAAATTTATAATCAGAATAGTACGATTAGCAGTAGCACTTCAATTTTTTCATGTTTGATTAGCTTGCTAGGTGGTTATCACTAAGCATGTTGGAACGATGAGCATAACCTAACTTAGTTCAGTACGTGTTGCTGCAAATTAGTTCAGTACGTACGAAGCTGTTGCTAATTTCAATGCTTGGCTGTTGCAAGTTTCTAATGAAAAAGTACTTCAGGTCAAAGGTGAGGGAATATACACTTTTGTTATCATGGTTGTTTCCTTATAGTGAACAACTTTGATCACCACTTCAGCAGCTACTATCTATAAGAAGACATTAGCTAAGTAGATACAGGCAAAGAAAGCATGTAGGCAAAACCAGAATTAAAAACATCCTTCTCAATGGAGCTCGTGCAGTTCGGAAGACCCTAATCATCGATGAGGGACCCCTCCGATGGTAGCATGGCGTGACAATTGCCGTCAATGACAACACCCAAAGTACCTTGCACAATCCATCGATCCAGTTCGGAACAATCAAGCACATACCTTGCAAAGTGATGTGGATCTGAAGCAGAGGTGGGAAGGTAAAGGCTCAGGTGAGGTGGAATGAGACGTTGATATAGACGTGCACGCATGAGAATAAGGTGGTGCCCAGGATGGATCTCCATCGGAGGAGGCCGGATCCGCTGGGGAGGAGGTCGCTGTAGTACCTGCCATCTGTGCGATGGATCACGGGGCTGGCAGGCAGGGGGAGGGGATAGGAGGGAGCGGGTGGGCTAGAGCGCAGATGGCGGGTGCCCCCGACGACGGCTGGGAAGGATGGTGGAGGAGGTGGATGAGGATGGCGGCGGCGGCGTCTGCGGTTGCGCCTCGTCCGCAGCCGTGCGCCTTGTCCGCAGCCGTGCTGGTGGTGGTCGATGCGAGAGCCGGATGGCGTCGGCCAGAATCAGGCAGGGGCGACAAAGATTTAGAGGAGAGAGAGAATGGAGGCGATGAGCGATGGGAGGAAGGGCCACCTGCGATTGGGGTGGCCTCAGATCCGCCCTCCGTGGCCGCCTATTTCATGGGACGAACACCCGTGCTCACCGTCGGGCTTGCCTTCGGCCGCTGCCTCGCCGACATTCACGATGTAGAGCCCCTTCCTCCGATCCCATTTGCCAGGGAGGCAGCGCCATCCTTCATCGCAGAGAACGAGTCCACACTGAGATCCCAACCAGATCGTGATTCGCCTCCCCAAACCGCAGCGGCACATCCCACTCCATCAACGACCAACTTATATAAGGCGGAGGGTCAGTGTAGGACGCGAGCGCCGTCACCATGGACGTGGGACGCCGTAGGTGGGAAGGAGGCGGCCACGGCGTCTGTGTTAGGAAGATCGCACGACGGCGGCGGCGTTTACTCGAGGGGATCGAGAGGAGCTGCGTTTGGTGCCGGGTGGGTTCTTTGGTGCGTGCGTGGGGCTGGAGATTATGATAGGTGATCAGGTGAGGGCGTGCCATACCTGGATCGATAGCCTTACCATACCTGGTGGTAATTTAAATTTATTACCATATTCGATATTTCCCGAGTTATGGCCTTACCATACTTGGATTGATAGCCTTTGGGGTAATTTAAATTTATTACCATATAATTACCATATTCAAAATATCCTGAGTTATGACCTTACCATACCTGGATTGATTTATTAGTATACGTGGATTAATTATGATTTATTACTATATGATTTATTACTATACGTGGATAGCCTTACCATACCTGGTGGTAATTTAAATTTATTACCATATTCGATATTTCCCGAGTTATGGCCTTACCATACCTGGATTGATAGCCTTTGGGATAATTTAAATTTATTACCATATAATTACCATATTCAAAATTTCCCGAGTTATGACCTTACCATACCTGGATTGATTTATTACTATACGTGGATTAATTATAATTGATTACCATAAATACGTTGGGTATTGCCCGTCAGACGAGAAAAGAGAAAAACCGGTGGGAGGGGCTTGTCGGAGGTGG